TTGCCATTTCCTACTCCAGGTGGATTGTGTTTAGTCGGAACTCTCCACTATATCCTGTCCGTCTTGGGTGTTCCTGCACGGCATAGCCCATAGCTTCTCTGAGTTACTCAAGCCCCTTCACCACGACAAGGGAGCAATCCATCATAGATACAGAAGCACAATATCCCACATTTATAAACTGGAGAGGTTTTTTTTTTGAAGAATTTAATTTAGTTTCAGCGTTAAAGGGCCTATTCTCAATATCTTTAAAGCACATAGCAGCTGTGACTTTCATTCAGCCCTGTTCACTTCCAGCCACAGCTGCCATAAACATACAGGATGATGGCACATGAAGAAGTCAGTCCAGATCATTTTTTGAAACTAATCCTGTACATTTCTTCACAGTTAATAGTCAGCTGTTTCTCTCCTGCTTCCCCTTTTCCCCCTGAGATTGGCAACAGCAACAGTGCAGTCAGGGTCCATACTCCATATTGTTTCTACTCATGAATTTTGTTAATGCACTCCAAATTTTGCCCTGGAGTACACCCAGACGTAACAACAGACTTTATGTGTCCCTTTTCACCTGGAATGTTTCTTGGGAAAAGCTAGTGTTTTTTCCATTAGATCACACATAATTGCTCTTCCAGGCTGGCTGCAAGTCCCTTTTTAAAGAGGAACATCACATCTACACCAGTCTATGACATCAGAATGGATACTGAGAAAACAAAGTTAGCTGGATAGAGGGCTTTCTGTCTGCTTCCTGAAAGTACTTTGAAGGAAATGCCTACTCATAAGCAAATTTATGAGCAGGGAGGCCTTGAGCCTTCTGAATAAAACATAGCCATTCTCAGATCTATTTGCAGCTGACCTGAAGCTGAAAGAGATTCAGTTTGAAGCAGGATGCAGGAGGATTCGGAGCCAGTGGATCTAATGAATGAATTGACTGTCCTGCTGCTTAACATAACAAATTGGGATACTTCCTTGTGGACAGCTCTGCTGCTCTTCACAGGTGCAAACTGCACATCTATAAAGAGCATTAGCTCTTCATTTGCTAGGAGCCGGAAAAGGAACAGTTTCTTGACCGGTTCCTTCCAGGGTGACAGTATCTAGTGTTTGCATCACCTTAGCATTCTTCAACCTTCCTGCAAATTCAAGGTCCACCAAGGTTCAATAACAAATCTCAACAGTAATCTGAAGAGGATTTATAACTCATCTCAATTAGCGGCATTGTTTTTGTCAGATTTGATCTATCTTATTTTCCACTTCCCAACAATATATCCTTAACACTCACTCAATATTCTGGCAAAAGGTAACAACATAAACTAAGACAAAACAACCCCATGGAGCCAAAATATTAGTCAAGGTATGTTTTATTACTATAATAATAAAAGGTATGGTTAAAACATGCTTTATTTTATTCATGCTTAGAGTAATTTAAGTAGGAATCTTTTCCCCCCCCAACTCCAAATGCCAAAATTCTCCAAGAATTCCATAGGAAGAATCATGGAAGTTCCAGCCCACAAGCACCCACCTGCAGACACCTTCATTTTACTAACCTGGAGAAAGGCTATGACCTTCTTCTAGGCATTATTTCCTGCTGAAGTGCTTTGGGGCGGGGGGGGGGGGGGCCTTCAGGAATCACCATCTACAGAAAGGGCAACAGGACTACCTCCCCCAGGAAACAATGCAACAAGAAAGAAGGCCTAGAAGGAGGCCTTAGATTTTCTCCAGGTCTGTGAAATGAAAAGATGTCAGCAGGTGTGTGTTTGTGACCTAGAACCTCCAGATTTCTCCCTGGGTAATTCTTGAAGAATTCTGGTATACAGGGTAAAAAAAGCAAAAGAAAATGGCACAATCCTAGATTCAAGCAATTCACCACTGACTCCTAATAATGAAGTTGTGAGTCACCTGCCTGAACTATTAAGCTGCTATGTGAACAACAAACCTCTTAAGCTGTTCCAGTCAACCTTTCTCATGACTCCTTTCATTCTCTCTCTACACAGTACTGCTTCCTCCCATGAAAGAAGATGGCAAGGAAAAGTTGTGTACTTGTAACTGCAGTTCTTCCATTATCTGTCTGTGAACTCACACAAATGGGTTTTTGTGCCTGCAGAGAACCTCTTTCAAAACATTGTACAGCTGAGTAGATCAGCATATTTTAGTCAAGCTTCTCAGTTCCAAACAATACCACACCATCATCTGATGCAAAAGAAGAATCATGGTCAGAATCATAGGCCTGAGGTACTCACATTGGACTTACAACAGAAGAGAAGACAGAGGCCAAAAGCCTTGGAACAGAAACATATACCAACAGTTGTCAAGTACATATCCAGAGAACAATATGTGGTATTGGTTGGATAATAATATGCGAATTCCTGAATACCATCTGTTGACCCAGGCTTCAACAGGTTCACCAATCAGGTCAGTCAGAAACCCTCCCAAGGCACCCTAAAAACCAACTGCATTCAGTAGCCTCCAAGGGAGGATCCATTTAACAGATCCCATCTCCCCATGTGGCGGAACCACTAATGAAAGTCCAAATTTCAACAAGTAATGATCTGACCATGACAAGGTGGTAGATGTAATTTCTGTCACCCTCGGTTCATAAGCTCCCCATCCAGGTCTAAAGTGTGTCCTGCTATATAAGCAGGGCTGATAAGATGTTGAGATGATCCAAGGATGTCATGGAATCCATGAATTCCAATGCCATCCCAGACATCTCCACCTTAGCATGGATGTTAAAGTCCCTCAGAAACAGTAATCTGGGGGGTCTCCACAGCACCACCAACATGAAGTCCATCAATAAAAATAAGTATATTCCCCTTAAGAGCTCCTGCATGTCCTTACAAACATACAAGCCAAAATCCTACTGCATATTTACACATGCTCAAGAAGCACTGCATTAGCTGCTGCAACTAACTGTGGCTAACTGACAAGGTACTGGGTGTGTTTGTGGGAAAGAAATAAAGGAGCCCCAGTAATTACCATGCTTGTGGAGACCTGAAGAGGCCAAGTTCATATGGAGTTTAAACAGGCCTGTGTAAACTGGCTTTTCTTGACCTCTTTATGGTAAAAGACAAAGAAAAAGTTACTAGTAGTTCAGAGGCATGTGGCAATGCAATACAGTAACATGAAATCAGGGGGATTTTCATGGCAACATGCACTGATGTTTGCTTAACTCTGAGAACAGTTAACCACAAATGGAAATACCCTGTGAGGAAAAAAAGTAACAAGGGGAAGGGTCTTGAGTGTAAACAATTTTGTTATAAGGCTTCTAAAATGAGCTGTTTAGAAATATAGGAGGGTTTTGTCTCTAGGTCTGTATTGACCTAGAGTACTCTGTGCTATTACATGCACACTCTTAATATCAAATAAATGTATTTACTGTATAATAAAATGGAATAATTCCTGTGAAGAACAATCTTTGCTGATTATTACCTAAAAACATTCACGTATTTCAGGCACATACCAGGTGTGTAATTAGTAACTGACTTATGATTGGCCCATCAGCAATTAACTGCAGCAACCTCTGTGATTACTGCCCTGCATACATAAACATCTAACAGGATTCTGGACACTAAGTATTAGGTACCTTTTGCTAACCTGCTCCAGAAACACATGACTGTAATTTAATGCCTACTGTGTATTATGCCTTAATGTACTGTAGTATTTCTAGTAGTGGTATCTTAAAGAAAATAAGAACCACAACTGATTCATGTTTAATAGTACAAAAAAAAAGCTTTGAAGTAGGGTAAACTTTTCATCTTGGCAAATATAATGTGCTTTAGATCACTAACGATTGTACTTCTAAATGTAATGTGAAAATTAAAGTAGGCATAATTCCATTCATAGCTGAAAAATGATCTGGTGTTCCTGATACATAGGCAGCAAAAGGTAAATCAAAACAACATGTAATACTGTAAGTTGGAAGAAGAGATAGCTTATTCCTGTTTTGAATACGAGCAGTCCAAGAACTTAGAAATGTACAAATACATTGACATTACAGATGGCCTGCAATTATTTTAAAAAGAAGATGGAAGGAGCACCTCATATAATGTACCATATCCTTTTATCTTGAATAAACTAACTTAAGGTAACTTGCATCCCTAATTTTGTATTCACAGTCAGTAATGAAGAATAAAATCACACACATATAGATGGATGAGAAAAATGAAAAATTAACTTTTATGAGATTAATTTGTGTATACTGGTATGGTAAAGATTAATTACGCTATTAAACGATTATGAGTACATATCCTGGCACTTAAAACAAAAAAAAAAATCAACATGTTTGATTAATAGTTTGACTCAGACAAATATATAAATTGCTGTATCTGAAAGAGTGGAAAGCCTTCTACTGACCAACCTACCATTTCAAATGTGCTGCCTATCAGAGAAACTGACCAGCAACCAAGTCAAGTAGAAAACTGAGAGGGACAGAAATCAGATATGCTTACATAGCATGTAGACCAGTAGAAGCACATTCTTCTGTCCCAAGAAACTTTCTTGGGAAAGTCTGTGTCCATGGACGGAGGCTTCATGAGTGAAGGAGTAATCAGCATACTCTGTCTGTAGCCACTGCAAATAACAAACGGGAGAGAAAAGAAAGGTTTTGTGAGTGTCACTCAACAAATCCAATTATCACTCCAATAATCTTTCAAACAACTTCCTCCCTCTAGGACAAGGGTCCCCAAGCCCTGGTCAGTGATCCATGCTAGTCCGTGACAGGACCAGGCCACAGAGACAGATCTCCCCCCTGCCTGCCACCCACATGCACGAGTGCCCCGCCCACCCGCATTTGCACCCTGCCCCTCTGTGCATGTGCGTGAGCATGCCCCTCCCTTCTCTGAGCATGCCCTCCCCTCTGCACATGCGTGTGAGCACCCCGCCTCTCCGTGCATGCGCACAAGTGTGCCCCTCCACTCTACAAATGCACCCCGACTCCCTGCACATGCGCACCCCGCCCACACGTGCACTATCTCTGCCCCTCAACTGATCTGCAATTCAGAAAAGGTTGGGGGCTACTGCTCTAGGACACAACCCTAGTTTAACAAACTGGAGTTGAGGGTCATAACTAGATTGTGGTGCTTTGTTGCCTTAAAATGTGTTCTTAGCATTGATTTTATTTACCATTTTAATATATTTGCTTAATCCTTTTAAAAATATTTATATATTTACTGTTCTTAGCTTTTAAACATTGTCCTTTAAATGTTGTGGCTTGGGTTCTTTTAAGGAGAAAGGTGGGGTAAAATATTTTAAATAAATAGTAAACAATCCCATGCCATCCCTTTCCACCAACATGACCTCATTCTCTGTTGTCAGGAGACTACTTCTCAAATGTTGGGGTGGGGTAGGGGACAGAACTGACAGCATAGGAGGGAGGTCTCATGAAGTATAGCAGCACAAAAAACACCTGATCTCCCCCAGGGGATGATTCAGCCCAAAATAATGAGTGATAGCTGTGAATGCTCTAAAGTTTCCTTAAATATCAAAACAACTTCCCTGCAATGGATGACTCAAGAGGCATTACAGCTCGAACTACAGACTAGAAAGCACTGGACCCCCAGCCCCTTTTTTTGGGGGGGGGCATACTAGAAACACAAAAAGGATCATCTTCTTGGCTAATGAATGAAAGAATTATATAGGCAGGCTCTCTCATGTCTTGAGGCACTTGTCTCCCAAGATGAGTAAGGTTCAATACACAGGGGGAAGTGCCATTTTCCCACACCAGTTTCAGCACTATAGCTGCTTTCTGTTAAAAACAAAGACCCCAATTCTTTCTGGTATGGTCTAGGTACCTATACAAGCACAAGGCACGCTCAAGTGACATGAGCTTAGATTGGAGCAAGCAACCTCAGTGAGGCCAAGATCCACTTTTCAGACTGGCTAGCAGCCCAAGGATCAGATCACACTCTCCCAAAGGAGTGTGGCCAAAGAGACTAATTTGCATAATTATTTTTTAAAAAACATAAGACAGATTTTAAATATTTTCCTTCAATTAAATTATTCAAATTCATAACATACTTAAGCCTCAAACATACTTAAATCTAAAACTAATAAACAAAGGATGTACGCAACTTTTAAAAATAATTTGTTTCATTCCATTCCATTTCACAGAATGTTGTTCATTCTGATAACCAAACCATTAATGATTTATGAAATCAAATACATTCACAAATTCCTAAGATTATTTTAAAATGTATTTTAAATTTGTCAGTATTTGCACCTACTACATTAGAAATGTCAGCCACAGTAGTATCAGAGAATCCCAGCCCTGTAATTTTCTGATGCACAGAATCAGTAAGACCAACAAAGAGAAAAGGAGCTGACCATATCCAATGAAGGAAGAAAGAAGTCTCAGTCAAGGAAGTTTGATAGGAGGTTGAAAACTTCCTTGGTTAATCAGGTGATTTACCTGCCTTTTAGAGCATTTAATGATGGGGAAGTCCCTCCGTTAAATGTTGATTCAACTTTCTAATATACTGAATCTTTCTTTAAACTGGTGGTTTAAGATTAATTTTTGATGGTGATATTTTTTTTAAAAAAAAATTATTTGGGGATGACAAGAGTCCTGGGTCTGCACCAAAATGGCTTAGCAGACCACATGCAGCCCATGGGACGCACATTTCCCACCTCTGGATTAGATAAATCTGGGAGATTTAATTTCAGTGTTGAAGGCATTCAATGAACAGTTGGACTACTATCTGTCAAATCTGCTTTAATTTGGTTTCCTTCATTGAACAGGGGATTGATCGCCTTATAGACCTCTCCCAACTCAATTATTCTACAGGATAATTCTATGATATCCATTAGCATATTAAACTTAGTAATAGCTGCAGAAGCACATGAATAAATCCAAAGGCTAAATAAACCAAGGAAAGAAAAGAGCTATGCGGCTAATTCAAAAAGCCAACAAGCACAACACCTGTACTTAAACAAGGATTGCTTTCCTATAGTCTCCCATAATCAACAGTTTCAGTTTTCTGATTCACAAGATGACACACTGAACACCACCTGTGTGAAGTCCTTGAACTGACTTTTCAGCAGTTATCATCACAGTGCTTTGCAAATATCTTAGAATTATGGTACTGATGCAAGAAGCTCTGTGGTAGAATATATTCTTTTCTTTCAGATGGCTTAAGTTTAACTTTAGAAATCTTCCATTAAGGAGAGCTTAGCCAGCATACTGTATCTAGGAAAAAGATCCAGAGAATCGCTACTGAACTAGGACAGCTGGACCAACAGTCCGACTCAGATATTTAAACTTTTGTTTTAACCACAATCCTCAGCAAACACAACAGAAGAATATCGTGATACTTCAAAGAATGGCTAATTTATTTTGATATAAGCTTTTCTGAACAAGACAGCTTCACCAGATGTTAGATGTGTTAATGTATCAGAGGTGTGTGTGTGTGTGTGTGTGTGTGTGTGTGTGTGTGAGAGAGAGAGAGA